AGCAACCATGAAGGCACTAGGCTTTATTCTTTTAGTCTGGAATTCAAGAAAGACTTATTCCTAAGAAAATAAATACTAACTCTGCAACCTGGCCTGTTGCTGGCCATGTCACTGTAAAACTTTGCCCCAAGTTTTGCAGAGTTCCTTTTCAGGATTCTGGATGGCTTCCTACTTACAACCCTGCTGACATTTAGGATATGAGGTTTTTATCCCTCTTTGATTTTCATTTCAAAAGGGCTTGATCAAAGTTTAAAACACACACACACACACACACACACACACACACACACACACACAAACACACAAAACAAACCCTAGTCTGTTTGTGATATGGCAGGCACAAAAGCTAATTTGATCTGAGGCTGCATTAACAGAAACATAGTGTCCAAAACAAAGGAGATTTTGTCCCACTGTTCTCTGCCCTCGTTAGACTACATCTGGAGTATTGTGTTTAGTTTGGGACACTATATTTTAGAAAGGACATTGATAGGATGGAGAATATCCAGGAGACTGAAAACGAGATGGTGAATGACTTCAAGATCATGCCATAACAGCTAGGTGGCGCAGTGGATAGAGCACCAGCCCTGAAGTCAGGAAGACCTGAGTTCAAATCCGGCCTCAGACCAAACACTTGGCACTTACTAGCTGTGTGACCCTGGGCAAGTCACTTAACCCCAACTGCCTAAAAAAACAAAAAACAAAAAACAAAAAAAAAAGAAGAAGATCATGCCATAACAGGGTTCAGTTGAAGGAACAGGGAAAGGAACTCAGAAAAAGATTTAGGGGGATCATGATGACAGTTTTCAAATATCTGAAAAGCTATCGTGTGGAAAAGGTAGTATTACTATTTTACTTAGCCCTCAAGGGCAAAAAGAGATAGACGTTTCAGAGAGGTAAATTTTGGTGAGATGAAAAGGAAAACCTTTTTCAGTTAGAGCTGTCCAACAATGGAATGAATTGCCTTGAGAGATAACAAGTATCCTACTACATCCAGTAACAGCTAGGCATCTACATGTTAAGGGATACAAAAAAAGTATTCTTGCTCAGGCAGGGATTAGATCAAAAGGCTTCTAAGATCCTTTCCACCTCTAATATTACAATTCTAAGGTAAAAGTAAGTTAGATCTCAGGGAACAAAGTGAAAACCTTTAGGGAGAGAAAAAAGAGCAGAGGGCAGCAAGAAAAGAACTAGTAACATACTCTATGCATAACACATTATTCACATATCACACAAGACAAAGTCAAAATATCCCAAAGGTCCAATTCAACACACTTGCTCCACACTAAGCAACCTAAGACCTTTGCTTTCTTTGATTTCAAGGCACTACATAAATCTAAAGAACTTTTGCTACACATTTATGAGTACACACAATTTAAATCAATAACTTTTTAAAATGTAGATGGTAATGTCATTTTAATGAACATTGAAATGTTCAGTCTTATATGATCATTTTAGTTGTATAAAAGGTCTAGTTTCTGAAATACTTTGGAAGACCAATTCACATCATGTACCTGTCTGCTAAAACAGACATAAGTCATTTATATTTACCTCTCACTGTGAAAATATATAATAAGGCAAAGTGACCAGTTGCAGAGACAGTATCAATGACAGTGGGTCAATACCATGAAAAAGAAGCACACAAACAACAATTTCCCTGGTTCCATTTTCTTACCTTCGACCCTGATCCAGTCGGCCATGAGGACCCCGAGCAGGAAACCTGCTCAAGTGGCTCAGATGCAATGTAGGGGATGTTTGGAAGAGACTCAGTGCTAAGGAGAGAAAATACATTATAAGTCAAAGACTCAAGAAATCTCTCTGGCTATCTTCACATCTCTACCTCTCAAGCTCTATATCCACAGTTCTGATTAGAACAGGGAGCCTATTAGTTTGAATCATAACCATTCTGTCTCACCCTCCTTATCAACCATACTCACGCTTCTGAGGGAAGAGTGGGGGAATCCGATGAGGCTGAAAGATCAGCTGAGGCTGAGCCCCCAGAATGCCTTGTTTCTGACCCAGCGCTGCCACATGTAGAAGGGGAGGTGCTGGGGACTTCAGCAGGGGCTGAGGAGTGAAAATCAGGAACTCAGGAGACTCTTAATACTGAGTTCACACACCCTAAAGCAAAACACCCCCCTCCCAAGAAGTATGACTCCTTCTTGGCTTTCAGGTCATATGGGCTCCCTTCCCCAATGCACATACTGACAAGGACTGAGTACCTGATTGGAGAGTGTCTGAACCTTGACAGCATTCCAGGGCACTGCCTGGCCAGGATTGTATGCAGCCTTTACCAGCACCTTCTCACCCAATTGGGGCAGCCTGCCCTTCACCACACTGCCAGCACAAAATCCAAGAGTGCCCATTGAGAAGAGGGGCCTCACCAGGCCCCCTGGTCACCTCAAAAATACCATGTCCTCCCCTTCCCCAGAAGACTTTCTGGTAAAGAAGGTCTTCCCCCCATAAATTTCCTGCCTGTTAGCACCCAAATCCCCTGGGGCCCAATGCAAATAGCAGCCTCAGAGATTTCTACACCATCATGATGATAAACTTTAACCCATTAAATTTTTTCTGTCAAAGCATCCTCACTCTTTGGGGAGATCATCAGAGCCTTCAGCCTACCTCAACTGAAAGAAGACCTCCTCATCAACTACCCCAAAGTAGTCATGCAAGCTGGTGACAATGCCAGTAAAGACACGTTGCTTCTCTCCACCCTGTAGAGTAAAAGGGTAGTAATCAAAATAAGGAGGAAAATGGCTGGAAACAAATGAGTATCTCTCATAATGCCATCAACACAAAAGACCTACTTTCAAACTACCTTCTCATCCCTACCCAACACCCTCAACAGTCTGAGTCATCAGTGAAAGGACAGTTAAAGTCCTCTTTGCCAGAAAATCTCAATCTGTAGGAGACTAACAATTAAAAATAGATGTAACCCAGTCATGGATGAAAATCAGATTGGTTTCTGAGCCACCAACCTATAAGGACTTGGCTTCTTCTTAGATAAAGAAAAGCTAAATAATCCTCAAGCCCAAGGTATATGATTCCTAGTCAAAGAGTTGATTAGCCATTTCCCCAAGATGGGAAAAAGGTAGAAGAGAATGACCCGTAACATAAAGATCAAAGAGTCATCAGAATTCACACATTAAGGCAAGACCTCAATGGACAGTATACTTGAATAAATGCCTACCTGAAGGTGCCTGGCATTCTGGGACAATTCTGTGGCTACAGGAGGGGTGAGCAAACCTGGTGGTGGGCCCAGGAGAGATGTGGATGCAGAGCCTATGAGAATAAAAGCAAAAGCAGAGTTGGCATACTGCCTTAGCCCAATCTAGACCCCAGGATCAGGAAAAGGTTGTATAAAGTATCTTGGTAAAGTAGAAAGCACACTGAATTTGGAGTCAGAAGACCTGTGTTCAAATCCTTTGCAACCTTGAGTAAGTCACATTTCTGAGATTCTGTTTCCTCATCTGTAAAAGGAGGGGGATTGGATTAAATGACCACTGAAATCCCTTCTAGTTCTGAATCAATTAGCCACAGACCATACAGCTTCCAAATACCTCTAGCAGATACTGCTATCAGCACCACACAGCAGCTCTCTCACTCTCAGGGCAATCTCAGCAAATGGTTCTTCTCCCACCACCTACAGCCCCCATTAGAAATTACCATCACCTCAGGGATGCTGTGGTAGGAGCAGAGAGGCTTAAGTTTGTAGCTATTTATCCTTAATGATGCAGCATAAAAAATAAAATTTACTATCTGCTAGAGAAACCTCAATAGCGAAAACTGGAGGAAGTCTAACTCTAAGGAAGACAAAGCAGGCATTTTCCAATACAGTATCAGCTATGGGCATAGGGCCTAACCTGAGAAGTTTCGTCCTCCTGGTAGTGGGTTGACCCGCTGGCGCTTGAACTGAGACATTGAGAATGCTGGTGTCTTTTACTGGGTCTTGGGAAAAACCTTTGATGAAAAGGGAAATGTTATCTACTTCATATGGAAGCAAGAGATCTTAATATCCTAGAAGAGGGAAAATAGGAAGAAAGGAAAAGGGAGATAGGATGGAATTGGGGGTTGGGGGGAGAAAAGGCAATGAAAGGATAAGGCTACAATAGTGTGGTAAGGATATGGAAAGGAGACAAGAGGAAGGGGGGAAAAGAAATTATGTGGAAGGAGAAGAGGAGACGTTGAGGAATGGAGGATGAGGGGGCAGTGGTACGGACAATGCTCATGGGGAGGAGAGGGAGCAGGAGGGATCCTGCAGTAGGAGAGGGATGATGATGGAACATAGGAACAGGATGATGAGAGATAATGGAAAGCGGGAAGAGGCAGGTGACGAGGAGGAGATGGGAGGGCGGCGGGGGGAAGGAGAGATGCGGAGAGACTGGGAGCGGAGAGGACCTCCTGGGGACCAGGGTGGGGGGCGCTGCTGCCGGGCTGCCCCCGCTCCCCGAAGCCCTCTCCCCGCGCAGACTGGCCGCAGCCCCGGACACTAGCTTTCCCGCCTCCGCCTGCCCTGGCCGAGGCAGCCCGGGGCCGCTGGAGGAGGGGCAGAGGGCAGAGAAAGGGAGGAGGGGCGCGGCTTCCACCTCCCCCCCTCCCCGGAGCCCAAGCCCGTTACCACGGAAACCGGGAGAGGGAAGTTTACGAGCTGTGGCCCGGGTCCGGGAAGCCCGATCCAGGGGCCCGCGACCCCTCACCAGGGGCGGAAGGCGGGGAGGAGAAGGGCCCTGAACCCACCTGTGGGCCCGGGGTCGCGACACCGGGGGACAAAGGCACCCGGAACCACCGCTGCCACCACTACCGCCACCGGAAACGCTTCGCCGGAAGCGCGACCACTGCTCGGAAGCCGCTTCCCTGCCGGATATCGTCCCCTTAGTCGGCCCGCTAGCCTTCAACAGCCTAAAAACGGAAGCGTGCCTCCCCCTACTGGAATCGGCGGGGGTGGTTGCCTCGGTGCTCACGTTATAAATGTCTGGCGACAACGTGAGACTCCGAAGAACTAGTTCCTATGTAAAAGAAGCACCCTAACCCCAGACCAAGCCCACCATTTTCCCCTTGCCATCCTAGAAGACACCTCAGAGGGCACTGCAGCCGCCTATTCGACTTCCAAGAGCTACACACCCCAAAGCTCCCCAAAGTCAGTTTCTGAGTGTCTTCAACCAAAGTTACCATTAACTCTTGCTCCTCTTTCCTGCAATGTCCTACAGTTAGTTAACAAAGACTATCCTCACAGTACAGTGAGCATTGTTATGTTCATCCCCCAGATGTGAAACTGAGGCTGGCAGAGGGGAAGTGACTCGCCTAGGGGCATATGGCCAGGAACTTTCCCTACCCTGTGCTGCCCCAACACCAAAACCTCTGACCTCCCTTCAACCACAGTCCTATCTACCCATCACCACCCCATCCTAGCACACACAGCTGTCAACCTTCACTTTGCAAACTGTAACACACTACAAAACACATGAAAACATTACTACCCTCTTACACCCCAGGAAGTCCCATCGTCCTTCTCTGTCACACATCTTCCTCTCTCTTCCAGAGTTCCCACACCCACTACACACCACTCCCTTTATTAGGTTTATAAATCTAGAAATGAAAGGGATCTCTGAAATCATCTACTTCAGGGGTGGGGCCTGGAGGCCACATGTGGCCCTCTGAATCCAAACTTCACAGAACAAATCCTTTTATTAAGGGGACTTGTTCTGTGAAACCTAGTTCAATCAATCCCTCTCATGTTAAAGATAAATAAAATGATAACCCAGAGAGGGTCTTGTCCATGATCAAAATGGTAATAAATGAACCCAGGTCCTTACCCTCCACCTCCAACTGTACCACCCTGCCTCTACTGTGCCTTTCTATCCATGTTCTCACCCCATTCTGAAGTGAGCCTCTTGGAAGTATCTTCAACTAACAAGAGATCCAAAGACAGCTGTGATGCACTGACTTGAAGGGTCCCCACCCTGGAGATGGCTGTGCTGAACAGGACAGGTCAAGGATCCAAGGTTCCATAGAGTGAGCACTCAATAAGTGTATGTTGAGTTGAATCGAGGTATGGTCTCTCCAGAGCAGTGAAGGAATGCTCCCTTTCTTCTCCCACCTCAAAAATCAAACATCTAACCAACCCCCACGGGAAGGCAGGGGCTGGTATAACAGCCAGCTCACACTGACACCTGTATATATTATAAACACGTCTACATATAATTACATATAAATATACATCTACAACAGGATGCACAGGGCCTGTGGGGTCAAATCACCACACATGCTTCACACAAAGGCACAACAAATAAGTTAGTTCCCATAATACAATCCTAAGGATTTCTGACAATGGGCAAGAGCTAGGACAGAAAGACTTTAGCAGGAGACACTTCAGTCCATAGAACCCCACCTCCACTGCAGTCCTCCTCCAGCCCTTCACCCTGACCTTGATCCTTGACCTTTGAATCTTGAAGACTGGAAGTGGAGCCCAAGATCTGGTCAGTCTTAGCAAGCTAGAAAGGCTTCAAGGACAGGCCTAGTGATGGACTGTGTGTCTGATGTCCAAGCTCAAAGAGACTCATCAATACCTTGGTCACAGGGCAATGAAATTTTTCAACTGCAGCAACTCAAGGAAGCAGGTATACCAAGTTATAGAAGGGTTTTGATCAGTGGAGGATTGATGGAATGAATTATGGCTCCCTGAGATCCAAAAGCTCCATATTCCAGAGATCTTGAAGGGGAGAGATCCAGCTCTCACATCATGGAGCCCACTCCAAGCTACTAGTCATGGTAAGGAACAGAGTAAGCCCAGGTAAAGGCTGTTGCATTGAAGGGATGCTGCCCTACCCATGATGTGCCAGACACAGAGAAGAAAGGACTTTGGCGTGTAGGACGGTTCAGCAGACTGAGAAGTTCTTGGCTCGATGCTTCTTTGCCACCAAACTTGGCAGGAAGGTCCTACGTTGGGGGTAACGCAGGGGACCTTCCGGTAGTTCCTCTGAATCTCTCCTGTAAGGAAAGGAAGTAGGTAGGTATCGAGTCAGAAAGCAACAATTGCAATAATTTCACGCAGGAGCATTTGTTCAGCATGTCACTTAAGCAATGGGGAAAAGGAACTTTGTAATACAGTCACTTTCCTCTTCTCCCCTTCCCCCCCCCATGCCCAGTCCCTATCCTTATTGTCCAGAAAGGAAACTGAGGCACGGGCTGATAAATTGAGGGTCATTCTGAGTGATATCATTTTATAATAGAATAAGTACTGGAGGGAGTGTCAAGAGACCTGGATTCTAGTCTTAGCTCAGCCCCAAAGGACTCAGGAGAGTCATAGAAAGAACTGGACTTAGAATCAGAAGCAAATGGATTCAAAACCTTCCCGTGAAACCAGCCATGTGAACATGACACTCTGTGAGCTTCGGTTTCCTCACCTGTAAAGGGGGATCATATTATGATACTTCACTTTTTTGTTGTTGTTGTTGTTTTTTAGGTAATTGAGGTTAAGTGACTTGCCCAGGGTGACAAAGCTAGTAAGCATACTTCACTTTAGAAGCCATTTCACAGCGCTGTCATGAGCCTTAAATTCAATGATGTATGTAAACTTTAAAATGTCTCTTATCATCATCATCATCATCATAGCTAACATTTCTACAGAGCTTACTATGTGTCAGGCACTGTGCAAAGCACTTTTTACAATTATTATCTCATTTAATTCTCAAAGCAACCCTGCAGGGTTGGTACTTTGATGAGCCCCATTTTACAAATTAGGAAACTGAGGCAAACAGAGGTTAACTGATTTGCCCAGGGTTACACAGCTGTTAAGTGTCTGAGGCTGGATTTGAACTCAGGTCTTCCTTCCTTTTAGGCTCAGAGCTCTAACCACTGCATCACCTTGTTGCCACATCATTATCTTTATTCTTATTATTATCACTCTTCTCACCTTATATTCAATGGAGTTTAGACAGTCTAAAGATAAGTTGATATCCTACTATCATTCTTTATGCTTATTATTCGGATTACCATCATCATAAGGCAGCTAGGTAGCACAGTGGATAGAGGGCCACCCTGTCTGCCTCAGTTTTCTCATCTGTAAAATGAGCTGGAGAAAGAAATTGTAAACCACTTCAATATCTTTGCCAAGAACTGCCCCCCAAAGAAAAGGAATCACTGAATAACAACCACAAATCGTCATCATTATCATCATCATCAACATTCTCCAACCCTGTTTCCTCATCGGTAAGATGGACTCACATTTGATCTTCAGTAAGGGGCTTACTCATTTACTCGATCCTCATTTTATACATTAAGAAACTAAGACTCACAGAGTAGTCCAGAGTCACATAGCTAGTTAGGTATGTGAGCCAGGATTCAAACCCAGGCCATCCTAATTCCGAGACCAGTGCTCAGGTCACTAGGCCGGACTCCCTCAGACAATCTGTAAGGTCCCTTCTAGCTGCGACATGCTTTGGAAAGAAGCAATTGGCTGTAGACTCCAGGTACCCTCATTTCTCTGGTCTCTTTTCTATTCTCCTTTCTAAACCCAGTTAATCTCCATTGTCCAACTGATCTCCATCCCCATTTCAAGACTTACCTGGGGGCAGAGGGATCTTGAGCAAGAGAAGATTCAGAGGCATGAGGGCTCTTCCATCGGATCCTGTTGAGCAAAGCTTTGACTTTGTTCCAATGGGATAGAGTTTTCTAAATAGAAGAAAAGGTGAGGCACGAAGACCCATTCAGCTACAGTGTAAAGATGACCATGCTCAATGAGGACCCACCCACTCAAATCTAGAACCTTACCAACATTCTAGCTCCTTAAGTCCTTTGCCCCACAGGACCTCCCATTCCTGACACTCCTTGTACAAGGGGTTTCTAATATTGACCTTCCTGCCCCAAGGCCCTCCAGTCCCCATTGGTTTGTTCCTAGCAATATGGAGCACCTACCCTGTGCCCTCGGTAGGATGGGATTGTGTGGATAGCCCCCGATGGTCCCTCCAGCAAATCTGGTGTGCTCATACTGTGCACCTCTGCCCGTCGAGGCAGGGCTGACTCTTCCACTGTGAAGAAAGGGACTTGGGTTAACCTAGGCAAGGAAGAGGAAGCCACTGGATTAATAATCAAGGTGCCTGAGAGCAGGGTGTTTGAAGCCAAAAAGACCTGCTGTGTGCCATAGAACAGAAGAATGGCAAATGAAGTTTCAGGGAACCAGGAAGAAAAAAAATGTCCGGCAAGTTGTCATTTACCTGTCTTTTCCACTGGATTCTGAAATTCCTGAAGCCCCAGCATGGAAGAGAATCGAGGGTGAAAAGGAGCAAGAACTGAGTTCTCAATCTTCTCTTCCAGGCCCTGCACCAGGGAGAGACAGAGATCTGTGACCTCATCTACGAGGGGACCCAATCCAACATTGCAGAGCCAGACAAATCCCTGCCTGCCCATCCAACGAATAACTGGCATTTATACAGCACTTGATGATTTGCACATACATTAAATCATCTGACCCCCTTAGCAACCCTATTAGGTAAGTACAAGTGGTATGATTATCCCCATTTCACAGAAAAGGTAACAGAGGCTCAATAAAATCCAGTGACTTTCCCAAGGCCACAGAGCTAATCAGTAGTAGGAGCAGGATTCGAACCCAGGACTTCCTTGACTCTGAACCTACTGCTCTTTCCAATATAACGTAGGTTCCTACCCAGAACTAGAGTTGGCCCCATTCCTGATATGCTCCTCTACCTCCCTCCCTGACATGTGCCCTGCCACACCAGGCCCCAGGGTCCTGTGGCATCCCCCATTCCCTGATTTCCTCACTCCTCACTCACAGTTGGCATCTGCTGGTACTGCTCCTGGAGCTGCAGATGAAGCTGTTGGAGCAGGGCCATTCGCTCCAGCATCAAGCACAGGTGCTCCAAGTATCGCAGCCCCTGACCTGGGAGGCAAGCCCAGGCATTGGACTCAGAGCCCACTACCTGGAGGACATAGCAGGGTGTGGTGATTAGATCGGCTTTCCTCTCCTTGGGCCCCCCCCCAGAGGAAAGCAAGCTTTCAGGGAAAGGAAGGGAGAATGTGGGTGTGGGGAGCCAAGCCTTGGATAAAAGACCCCTGCCCAACAGCATTCCCCACCCCCACACCACCACCCAACCTGAGCCAGTATCAGGATGAACCTGCGCCCCTGCCCACCCACTCTTTGGGGAGGTTGCAAACAACCCCAGCTACCTGTTGAGTCATGAAGTTATGCCAGCACCTACCAATTAGGATCAGGAAATGCCTGAGAGCGAACTCCACCCCAAGAAAGTTTCAGAGATAAGGAGGTGGGAATTAAGAAGGCTCTAGGGAGAGGGGGGTCTCCCGCATCCCCTCCTCAATTGGCAACGCTGCCCTGACATGTCCCTCTTCTGGTCTGATGGCCAGCACTCACCAGAGATTCTGCTGGGCTCAGCTGGGAGCCAACCTCTGCCTCGGTGCCGCTCCGATATCCAGTTATTTCTGGAGACACCTCAGGTCCCTGCTCATTCCGCTTCAGATACGTGGGTGTCACAGTAGACGAAGATCGAGGCCAGCGGGACCTCGCCACCACCTGCTCTAGTTTCTGGCTAGCCAGGAACCTGTCCAGGTTTGCAGGGGGTTCCATAGTGACAGGGGCCGGCTTGGGCCCCCCACCCAGCTCCAAGCTTGAAGAGTCCAGATTGAAGCCAGGAGGGGTAGTGGAAGGACTTTCCCCTCCCCCCATTTCCACCCCAGAGTCCCTTGAAGCCTGTTCCCTGGAGCCTGTCACCATGCAGTCACCATCCTGGGGCTCAGCGGAGCCTACCCTGGGCATGTCATGAACACGAAGATAAATGTTCTTAGCACCAAGCACCACACAGCCACCCAGAAGCTCCTCACAACCACCATCTGCCAAGGAAAGACAGCATCAGAGACCATACACCCTCCCACCCCCGAGATTCCTGGACCAAACAACATTCCCATGGGAAGGTGTGCCCCTAGAGGAGTGGGCGAGAGAGGAGCTGTTCAAGGCCGTATACGGAAGAAGTCAGGTGAGATCACAGCATCTCAGACCTGGAAGGGACTTGAGAGGTCACGAAGTCAAAACGATGTGTGAACAGAAGCACCTCTACAACATCTCCAACAGCTGACTGACCAGCCTCGAACAGAAGACCACCAGTAATGGGGAACTCACAACCTTTCCTTTCATTGTTCCTAGTTCCCATCCCTCTTCCATCTCTCTCTCTCTTTCTTTCTCTCTCTCATTCACACACACACACACACACACACACACACACACACACACACACACACACACACCCCTCACACATTGTTGTCCCCAATGGAATGGAAGCTCCTCGAGGGCAGGATCTGTTTTTTGTTTTGTCTTTATATTCTCATCTCCTAATCATAGTGCTTTGTTCATTTTCCACCCTTAATAAATGCTTGCTGGATCAGACTAGATTACATCAATGAACAAACACTTTTTAAGGATTTACTATCTGCAGGTCACTGTGCTAAACTCTAGGGATGCAAAGACAAAAAATGAAACAGTCCCTGCCCTCAAGGAGCTTATATTCTATTGGGGGCACCAACATGTACATATGAATATATGCAAAATAGATTCTAAATAGCTAGAAGGTGATTTGGGGCTGCTGTTCATTCATTTCTGACTCTCCATAACCCCATTTGGGGTTTTCTTGGCAAAGATACTGGAGTGGTTTGCCATTTCCTTCTCCAGCTCATTTGACAGATGAGGAAACTGAGGAAAACAGAGTTAAGTGACTTGCCCAGGGTCACACAGCTAGTAAGTGTCTGAGGCCACATTTGAACTCAAATCTTCCTGCCTCCAGGCCCTGTGTTCTATCCACCCAACCACCTCAATGCCCCAATTTGAAGGAGGGAGATGTTAGTAGCTGAGCAGATCAGGATTGTAGCTAAAGTACTTTTATCCACACGATTGAGAGCGGGAGAAAGAGAGAATGTAGAGTTCAGAGTTTTCCCTAGTGGAAGGAGAAACCCCACTGGCCTTTTCAGTCAGAGCTTTAAATCACAGGTTCTTAACCTAGGGTCCACAGATCCCCAAAGGGATCTGAGAATAGATTTCATGAACATGGATAGCCCTATCCCGATCAGCTAGAAAGTCCCTCCCCCAGATTCTCACCAGCCCTGTATAGAACTAAGGAGAAAAGGCCAGCCAGTCTTACCCTCAGGTTCATGGGTACTGATTTTAGGATCCCAGATCTCCTCACCTGAGTTCCTTTACAGAGAGCTGGCACAGTCCAGTGCACTGGCTCACAAATTTCTCTGTCTCTGGACCATTTTGTAGGACAAAGTATCCTTTGACTACCCATACTGCTTACCATGAAAAAAAAAATCATCCAAGCTAATGAGAAGACTACCACTAATTTGGGTTAGACACCACTGAGATGATGCCTGTTTTCTTAAAAAATATTTTTGTCCAGATCTATGACTGATAGCCATAGAGAACTGCCTGGGGGAATCTGAGAAGTCAGTTACTATGAGTGTGTTGGCGGCAGAATTTACACCCAGGACTTCCAACTCCAAAGCTGGCCCTCTATCCATTCACCATGCTAAGCTGTCTCTCTTTAAATTAAGAGTATACCCAGGGCAGTTAGGTGGTACAGTGGATAGAGCAGCAGCCCTGGAGTCAGAAGGACCTGAGTTCAAACCTAGCCTCAGACACTTACTAGCTGTGTGACTCTGCAGTAAATTAATCCATACTTTAAAACTTCAAAGATGTATTTATTCCCTTGAATGGACACAAATTGAAACCCCTTTATATGTAGAACTGTCTTCATGTGTTGCTGGGGCCAAAGAATTCGACTGGTGATCAACACTTAACTTGGCTGGTCCTCAGATGACAAGAGTTCCTAGTTCAAGGTCACCCGCACACCGAGATCAGGTATCAGAATATAATAATAATAAATAGCATTTATAAGAGCTAGAGAATGAAATGGTAAACCACTCCAGTATCTTTGCCAAGAAAATGGGGGTCACAAAGAGTCAGACACCGAAGAACAAAAAGCTCTTTATATAGCATTTTAAAGCTTGCAAATCACTTTATAAATATTATATCATTTTATCCCCTGCAAGGTAGGTGCTATTATTATTATCCACATTTTACAGATAAGCAAACTGAGGCACAGGTTGAGTGACCTACTCAGAGTCACGCTGCTAAGTAAGTTGTCTTAAGGTATAACTTGAATTCAGCTGTTCCTGACTTCAGGACCAGTGCTCTATCCTCTGTGATGCCTAGTGGCCATAGGATTATGCATTATAGTATAATATATGCTATAGTATACTATATAGTATGATATATATGATATCATACATATAGTATATATTATATACCTATCATATCATCATAGATTTGGAGCAGACCTTAAAGGTCACCTAGTGAAACCCCTCATTTTACAGATGAGAAAACTGAGGCTTAGAGTCACAAAATGATTTGTCCAAGGTCACATAAGTAGGAAAGGGCAGAGCTTGGCTTTGAACCCAGGTCCTGTGACCAAATCCAGCACTGCTTCTACTGCACCACACTAGACACCAAGAGAGGTTTACAATACATTTATGCATTCTAGGGAAACATAACTATAGACAAAATCTCATTACAAACATCACCTCTGGGTAAGATCAAAGCCCTGGCCCACCCCACCCCCACTCTCAATCCCCAGTATGTATACTGTACGTACAATATCCTTGAAGCCCTTACCATCACTTCTAAAATACCTTGTTAATATTTCCTTTCTTCCCTTTCGGTTTCGGAATGCTTGGTGGGCTTGGGGGCGGGGAGGGAAGGAGACAGGGTTTGCTCACCCAGGTTGGAAGGTCTGGGCTGCCAGGATGGTGAAAGGGGCACTGCAAAAGATGCTTTCTGTCCCAAGCTGTGAGGGGAGGGTGACACGAGAGCCGAACGAAAGCTCTCGCAAACCATCAAGCGCTATTATGAATGAGAGCAATTAAGACAAGTGAAGCACCCTGGAGCTCCCACCCAGCCCACATGGTCCCAAGGCCAAGGGTGGCAGCCAAGGGGGAGGGAACGTGGAGTAGCTCAGAGCACTAAGGGAGCATAAATTCCTAGTCCTGCAAAGTAAAAGAAGCCTTGCAAGAGGAGATGAGGGGTGGGTGGGTTTTTAGTCCGCAGCAGGCAGAGTTGTTTATTTTTCTAATTAACACAAAGTTAAGGTGGGGTCAGAGGAAATTCCGTTCGGAAATGTATGCTTGGGGCAGGTAAGCAGAATTTAAACTTAGAGCAGGGTTGGAGTGGATGGAGGTGGAATGTAAAGAAAAGGGGGCAGAGGGCTAGCTCCATAAATCCAGATAGGTCTAATCTGAAACCTGGGTCCACAATATGGTGGGAGTCCCGAGGCCAGGGGGTTCTGGGGCGTGGCACGGGGTTCCCCGGGAATGCGCCCTGGGCGGAGGGAAGCGCTTAATCAAGGTCCCGGGAAGGGTGCAGGGTACCAGACGTGCGCGGGGAGAAAGTCCCATCCGAAGGGAAGACAGGAGCAGGACAGATAGGATCATCAGACGTTAAATCCGGAGGTGAGGGGACCGCCCCCGCCCCCCAGCCCCAGGAGTGCTCCAGGAACTCTTCGGAGCGCAGACATCTAGAGGAGAATTCCAGCGCCTGCTCCAATTTCAGCCCCGCTTTCATCTTTGTAAGGGGCTCCTGGGGCTGGGGCAGGGGCAGGTTCGTAACTCACCCTGGCGACCAAGCGGCTGTAGGGTGAAGACCCGCCGCCTCCCCAGCATGGCCCGGCTCCGGAGCGTCTGAAGGCGCAGCTGCAGCCCTGGAGGAGGATGGAGAGCCCTGCACCGGCCAGGAGCCCCAACTCCCCTCCCAGCCCCGCAACCCGGACAGGGCGCGGCTCTGGGACACTCCTAGCCTAGGAAGGCTGGGGGAGGAGGAGTGGGGGAGAAGGTGGGGAGGAGAAGGAGGAGGCCAGGATTGGGGGAAGGAGGGCGAGGCGAATGCGCTGAGCTGCAGTGGGACTGCTGAGGTCCCCTCTGGCTTAAGGGGAGGATTGGGGACAGGTGGGGGAAATGTGAGCCCTAAGCAACTGCGGTGAGGGGGTGGGGTGGGGTACCTATGGATGAATGAACCAGAAGAGGGGAGAGGCAGGTGGACTGGGATTAAACCCTCTGGTTCTCCACTCCAGCCCTCTTGCCTTAATCCTGACTGGGAAAGGAGATAAGGACATTCAGACAGTTTGGTTTCCCACTCCCTCAGCTAGCCAGAAAGCTGAGCCCCTTACAAAGATGAAAGTGGGGCTGAAATTGGAACCCAGAAGACCAGACCCAAAGTGGGGGGTGGGAGGCAGTCTGGTAGGGGAGGAAAGCCTACCAATCACGCTCTCCTATCCACTATCTTCTCCCTGGGCCTCAGTGTCCTCAATTGTAAAACAGGAGTGCTAGGCTGTTCTGTCCACCTCTAGATTACAGTTCCAAGTTAAATATAACGGGGGAAGAGATGTGATGTACATAAAGAGAAGGAAGCCTAGAGTTCCTTGTGATTCTAGAGGAAAGGTTGTGACCTCCGGGAGGGAAGAGTGTGGTAACACATATTTCCCTCCAGCTCCAGCACTGGTGTTTGCACAAAATAGGCACTTACTAAATGACCTGAATAAATGTCTTAATGTCATTCTTCAGGGTCAGAAGACCTAGTCTCGGATCTACCCAGGTATGGCATGACCTAACACTGTAAAATGGAGACAATGATAATAGGGGCCTGTACTCCCTTAGAGGAATGTGGTAAGCATTGAGATTGATACACATATGCAAAGCATTATTCTTATTTTTAGGCCTAGTCAAAACTCCACTCTAATCCTTTTCCCCTTGGGAAATATAGATATTGGGATAGATAGATCCTAGTAAGGAGAGAGAAGAAATGTCTTTTCCAGACAGTGCTGGAATTGATCCAGTCTAAAGCCAGAAGGGCTAAAGGGGGACCAGCACCCCAGTCTGTAGCTATAAGTTAGGGGTAAAGCTACAGAGAGACCTCCCTCAAGTCCCACTTTTACTCCCTCTCCACCCATTCCCTTTCCCATTCCAAGAAGCAGATTTTTGGAGTGGGTGAGGGAGAGGAGATACCTAAGTCAAGAACAGAGTTCACTCCATCCTCTCTCAGGAAAGGGAGAAAAAAAAAGAAAATCCCTCAGAAGCAGATAAGGGAGAGAAGGGTACTGTAAGATGCCTGCCCTGAATCTGGGGAATGTGAGAATAGATTCCTAGAGGGGCCCAGCTGTCTCTGTGGTGACTATGAGGCAGGAATGTGGCCAGCCAAGAACAGGAAGCTCAGGGCCTGCAGGAATGCAGTCTCAGGCACAGGCTTTGTGTGTGCCTCAGACAGGCTTCCTCTAACCGGCCCAACCCCCTCCCTGACTTCCCCAGAAGTGAAAAAAGACCAGATTCCTCTACCCTCAATACAACCAAGGCTCCTTAGCAAGCTAAGGAAAAAGAGGAGGCATCTTCTTTGGGACCCTCAGGAGTCTGCTTGGTTGGCCTTACCCCTTAATTCACTTCCTTCTCCCAAACCAGACCCCACACCCCCAGCCCTTACTTACCTTCTTGACCTAGAAATGGTTCCTAGCAATGCCCAAATCAGAGACTTTAAGGCATGCCTGTGCTTCTTTGCTGCTTAAAGGTCAAGACCCCCTGAACATTCCAGGGACATACCTAGATCTCCCGAACTTTGCTTCACCCATCTTATCCAGCCATCCCCCAATAAACCAAGACCTAGGGGGAAGCTAGGTGGTGCGGTGGATAGAGGACCAGCCCTGGAGTCAGGAGGACCTGAGTTCAAATCCAGCCTCAGACACATAACACTTACTAGCTATGTGACCCTGGGCAAGTCACTTAACCCCATTGCCTAACAAAAACAAGACAAAACAAAAAAACAATAAACCAAGACCTAACCTTGCTCCTGCTCTGAGAACAGCAACAGAATCCATACTCCTTTGCTGGTGGAAAGGGCATGGTGGTTGGCTGTCCTGTGGCCCCATTTACAAGTCATGAGAATCTCCAGTCCCAAACTCGCTTACATAGCCGCTGATCTAGAATGCAAGCTCCTTGAGGGCAAGCTAGGTGTCAGAGTGGATAGAAATTTCCTGGCCTGGAGTCAGGATAGCTCCTCTTCCTGAGATCAAATTCAGCCTCAAACACTTATTAGCTATGTGACCTTGGACAAGTCACTTAACCCTGTTTGCCTCAGTTTCCTTAGCTGTAAAATGAGCTGGAGAAGGAAATGGCAAACCACTCCAATATCTTTGCCAAGAAAATCTCAAATGGGGTCATGGAGAGTTGGGCACTACTGGACAACAGCAACAAAGTATAGTGCAAGTGGTCAGGTTATGAAGGTCCCTAGATGCCGGCTGATGTTATATTTGAATCCTGCAGGTAATGGGGAGCTACTCTCCGTGCTATAGGAAGATCAATTCGGTAGCTGAATGGAGGATGGACTGGAGTGGGGAGAGGCCTGTGGCAGGCAGACCCGCAAGCAGGCTGTGGCAACAATCCAGGTATAAAGAGATGAGGGCCTGCACCAAAGTGGGGACAGTGTCAGAGGAGAGAAGGGGGTATATATGAAAGAAGTGAGGTAAACGAGGTTCAGGGATTTGCCCAGGGTCGCACAGCTAGTAAATGTCCAAGGTTAGATTTGAACTGAGGAAAATGAGTCTTCCCAACTCCAGGTATGGTGCTCCGTGCACTATGGCGCCACCTAGTGGCCCAAATAATTTATGCTACAGCAGCACTGGTCTTGCTGTTCCTCCTGCAGAATGCTCTGTTTCCCTACTCCCAGCTTCCAGTGGCTGCTGCCATGTGTGGAATGCTCTTCCTCCTCACCCCCACCTCCTAGCTTCCTTGACAATTTCAGCTTAAATCTCGCCTTCTGCAGGAGACCTTTCCCAGTGCCCCTCACTGCTAGTGTACTCCCTCTGAGATTACCTGCTATTTACACTGTGTCCATCTTGTCTGTACGGTCATTTGCATGTTGACTCTTTTGTTAGAACATGAGCTCCTCGTGGGCAGGCACCATGGTTTTGCCTTTCTGTGTATTCTCGTCATTTAGACAGTGCCCAGCACTTTTTTTGCTATTGTTGTGACATTTTCGGTCCCGTCCAACTCTCTGTGTTCCCACTGGGGGTTTTCTTGCCAAAGATACTAAAGTGGTTTGTCATTTTCTTAGGACTTAATAAATGCTTGTTGACTTGTGACGACATATATGATCTACTACTATAACAACTCATAAACAGAAGCACAGTCTACATAATGACTTTTGGAAGGTGCAGGGAGGGGTCCAGCCCTGTCAAATGAGACTTTAACTGAGACCTGAGGGAAACCAGAGAAGCCAGGAGGCCAAGATGAGGAGGGGCAGAGTTCCAGGCACGGGGGACAGTCTGGAAAGAAGTCTGGAGTAAAAAATACAGCATCAAGGGGCAGCTAGGTGGCATAAAGGATAGAGCCTTGGAGTCAGGAGGACCTGAGTTCGAATTTGACCTTACACACTTGATACTTAATAGCTGTGTGACCCTGGGCAAGTCACTTAATCCTGATTGCCTCACCAAAAAAGCAAAAAAAAAAAAAAATACAGCATCATGCCCAAGATCACAAGTGGGATTTGAACCTAGGTCCTCCAACCCCAGAGGACGGTGCTTAAGAGTATAAATACATCCACACATGTATACACATATACATAGATGAAAGATTATATACATATATAGATATAATCACAAATATATAGGAGAGGCAGTACTGTGTAATGGAGAGCTCCTGGATTTACGAAGACCTAGATTCAAGTCCCACTCTCATGATACATGCTGGCTGTATGACCTTGAGCAAGTCTTGAGTATATATCCATGTATGTATGTATGGATGTGTGTATATATGTATATATGTATCTATAACGTTCAATAATTTTTCAGTTGTTTCCGACTCTTCATGATCCCATTTGAGTTTTCTTGGTAACGATACAGGAATGATTTGCCATTTCCTTCTCCAGTTTAACAAACATTTATTAAAAGATTTATTACAATGTGTGACATACCCTGGATAAAAAAGACAAAAATGAAATCGTTCTTGCTCTCAAAGATCTTAAATTCCATCTGGGGAAACAGCCAATACAGAGGTGGGGTGTCTCAAGTCTTGGTGTAGTTTTAAGCTATTAAAGTTTAAGACTTTTAGGACATCCTGTATAAGTATAAACAAAATATATCCAAGATGAGTATAAGGTAATTTCTGGGGACAGGCCCCAGCAGCTAGGGGGAATCAGGAAAATCAATATGTATGAGGGTGTTGCTTGAGCTAAATTTTGAAGGAAGAGTCTTAAGAGATGGAAAAGAAGAAAGAGTATATTTCAGGAATGGAGGACACAGCCTATGTAAAGACAGAGGCAAGAAGTGAAATGCTCCTTTGAGACTCAAGGAGGGTCCCTAGCACCTTGGGTGGTGCTCCATTGGAACCCCCCAATACAGAGCTTATGGAAGAACATAGATAAAAACTGCACAGGATGGAGAGGCACAGGTGAGTGGCTATCTGTATCACTAGAGGGAATGTCCACATTAATGAGATCACAGGTCATCTGGATAGACTGTATATCTTATATTGTTCTCTACTTCATTGTCTTTTCTCCTCAAAAAGATTGTAAGCTATGTAAGGAAAGGGATCTTATCATATATTCTTTGGTATTGCTTAAAAAGCATAGACCCGGGGTGATCAATAAATGCCTAGTGAACTGGAATTAGGCCTCAAACAGCAGGTGCATTAGTCATGAGCTGATGGCATACA